TGGAAGCAGCGCCGGTTGAGTGGGTTGGAAGGCTGACATTGTGCGCTGGCGATTAGGTGCCTGTCTCTAAGAGCGTGGGTTCGAATCCTGGATGGGACTCTAACTAACAAAAGTACAAGAATCTGTCATCCTATATACATATGTTATGTCTACATATTCGATGTTGAGGGTGTACACCACCATCATGCATCCTAAACAAGTATCTGAATGAGAATAAATGTAATGAGTGCGTGAGTGAGTTAAGTTTTACGCTGCTTTCAGGAATATACCAGCGGCATATATTTCACGGCGGGAAAATCAGAGATACGTTTCACACATTGTCCCCATTTGGGGAATCGAACCTGGGTCTTCGGCGTGATGAACGAAAGCTTTAACCACTAGGCTACCCAACCGCCCCAAAATATTGAATGAGTGTGAGTTAGTACGTTTACAATCACATTGGCTGTATTTCAGTCGTATCGTGACTAAAACAGGTCATACTTAAATCTTTTATAACGTTATATTATAAATTCTATCGCCGAAGGAGGGTAAAACAACTATAATATCCCCCTCATTCAGTCCTACATGTTGTTATTACTTAATCCCTGTTCATGTATATAAGCCTGTTCTGTGCTGTAGTACTTCACTCTTGCTTGACAACGGTATAAGAATCCATACCGAAACGTCGCATCATATATAATAAAGAAGTTGTTATCCATAAATATTCTTACTTTCTTATCATAATTAGAGATTTAAAATTTGCATGTTACTTCACATTATATACTATTTAAGGCATTACAATATAAAAATGGACCATAGATCACCAGCAACTGAAGGTAGATCATCTTACTAAGGACCATGGGGACTTACAGTACATTTGCTACCTGCATGGACCCTAGCTGGATTTACACCATCCCTTCAGCCGCTGGCGATTGTAGTGAGATTTAACGATTATTTAAAACAACAAATATTCCACACACAAAAAATCGGCAGACGAAAATGGACATTGAAAGTTTTGAGACTTACATACCCTCTCAAGAGGACAATAATTTTACATTAACCCCCTTCAAGGATACAGCCACTAACAATCTCGACTAGAATTCAATGGTCTGGATAATGCCATTTTTTTTTAATTTAAGAGTGGAAAATGTCACGTCAGTTTCACCTGATATGCTCTCTGTAAGTACAACTTGACATTCAAACTTGATCACATGAAAATAAATCAACAAAGGCAGATTAAATTCTTGTCTAGAAGTATATGTCCGCGCCTGAATACTAACTCTACACATGAGCATTAATAGAGCACCACTTGAATCAAATGTCAAGTTTCAAGATTTTGGTGAAAACAGTCAATCATGTCCAATCATACTGCAATACACATGTAAAGTAAGTGCTGTAAACAATTTCTCAAATCATATATCCACATGCTCACGTGCATCCAAGGCCTCAAGCATGTTGGGGTGTACATTTCATAAGTGTAATATTAATGTGAACTAACGTTTTTCAACTTGATACACAAGACCAGCCGTTCCCGTTAGTCGATTCTTTCGATAAGCATGAGCTGCTGGCAACCAGTTCTTCATCTCTATAAGAACACCAATAGTCGTGTCAAAGAGATGTTTAACTTGTCAAGTTTGCTACTTGCAATGTTGACAAAGAACAAACCTAACAGACCATTTCGATGTATTTCAGAAGATTTTCCCATTTAATATTTTGTTGGTCATAAAATATTCCATTCTGCTCATCACGAGTATATTTCAGCAGCCATTTGTTCTTTTGGAAGTAGATTAGATGTTCTTTTTATGGATATATTTAGATGTTTCTGATACATTTTATAGCCTTTGTCTTATTTGCTCTATACGAGATCAATGTCCAAAAAAATCAGACGCAGAAAGGTCTATCCGTCTGCAATGGCAATTCTTTACAGCAATTCTGTTGTCATATGAGCGTCGGTCAAATAGTAGTCCCTTACTATATTCTCGATGTCTAGTGTTTGAAAGCTTCCATTTTATTTTGAAGGAATCATTAGTAAAGCCATATCCAACCTTTCACATAAGTGGGTAATGTGGTTAACGAGATATTAGTCAGCACAACACATTGAAGTATACTATTTCTAGAAGATTTGCAAAAAATGAAATCATATGTTCAGCTGTTATCTCTTTGTCAGATGTGTATTTAACGTTTGTCACGGTTATGGCAGCACATGCTCACCTTTTTCGACCCCCTAGAATCATAACTGTATAATATGGTTATCGACTGGTAAGGTGTTGGACAGTCTCATTATATTGTTTTACCATTCATAACCTGATAACATTCTCGAGTGGTGCGTGACTGGTCCTTTGGTGGCAAAACATAAACCCTCTCTGTAATCGCGTGACCAGCCATGTGACATCTCGTGATAGGTATCGCTAGTGTGTCAGTCATGCTCAGTACATTCCCGCGAGCAGACGCCAAATGTCGGAAGAGAACCAAACAACGTTTCGGTAATTGCTGAACTGTGTTTTAAGATTGCTGATGCTTTGAAACGCCACGACCACTGATAGCGGCGTCTTGGTGACTTACAGAACAGTCCGGCCGCTCCTGAGGGTCAACAACCAGACCGCGCGAGGTCTGACGTCACCAGTCAACCTTTGTGACGAAGTGCTCACATTCAAACATTTTCTGCTTGACTGTGTGGACTTTTCAAATGCAAGGGATTCACACTATCTAACTATATAGCTAAAACATCTGTTTTTCCACGTGAATGGGCATCTCACTGAGTACTGAATGGATACATGTTTTATGATTGGTAATTTAAACTTACATGTTGAATCAATGCCGATCTTCTAATTGTCACTAACAATTTCACTAACAAGTTGCGTTTGCAAAACCATTTGACGAAAATCTATAATCAATAACCGTTCAGCTTGGGATTTGGATACTAATGACTGAAGTAAACTCAGAAGTACCATCGATCATTTAGTGCGTTTAGAATCATCCATCAAACAGTGATATGTGTTTATCTCTGCTCGATCTATAAAGAAGCCCAATCAACGCTCCTTCATGTCTATAGAGGACATATCTAAGGTCGATTATGGATACATCATTGTGGAACCTGCATCATTTAGATCCTTTCGATCGTCAAGCTCTTAGACTTTGTTTTTGGATCTTTGAATATATCAACGATTGACAGTCTGTATGTGGAGGCTGACGAGTCATCTCTTAAACTCTGCTTAAACTCAGAATATCACTGGTGTCATAAAATGTTCCTGTATGTGGAGGCTACAGAATCTGCTGGATAAAATGTTCCTTACAGAATATTAGTATATTGTTATGTGTCATATCCAGCGTACAGCTGCTCTTTCAATCCCCGTTATAAAGATACGTACAATAAGAAGTCTTATCCCGCTTCTAGGCAGAAGGACTGAACATGCGATTTCTGCTGCTAATGTCGACCTTGAAATATATCTCATTTCCGCCTACTTTCTTCATCTCCTCCTAGGCAATTAATGGAACCACTTGTGGAACTTAAATTAACCAAACTTGAAATTTGAAAACAAACGGCTAATCGGCATATAACAAAACTTCAATTAAGAAACAGCTACGAAATCTATGAAGCATGCAACTTTATGGATAACAACTTCTTGTTTATTGCATAGAGCGACGTATCGATATAGTTACTTACACCGTTATCAAGCTAAGAGTTACGTTGTATGCTTCATTTTTCACTCAACCACTTCTAAAATGCCATTGAACACTTACAAAACATTTATAGGTGATGGGTGCGCCGGTCATTGGATCCAAAACGATATTGTTTACATTTCCGTATAAAAGCTCTATTTTCACAGCTGCTCTTAAATATATCAATAGACTGTCTAAATACAAACAATACATACTAATTTCACACTCTCTCTCCTTTGTGCTTTGGGTCATACAGTCCCAATAGTCATCCAATGTAAGCCGAAATTCTCGAATTGCAAATGATCTTGCCACTGGCCAATATAACATTGTCTTTTGTTGGTTGCCCGGTCATGTTGGAATCACTCGTTACACAATGACAGCTTCTTCTACTAAAACACAACTCAACAAATGTTGGACACCAGATCCGACACCTCACAATGATAATAATAATAAGCTTGTCATAAGATGTTACATCAGGGATCTAATGCAAAACAAGACACCTAAATTTGGTGTAAAATATTACATACAACACACTTACTTCTCTGTCAGTCCAGATTTAAGAGGTCATTTCAAGACGAAGGCATACTGTCCACGACAATTACACTCAAGAATATTATTCAAAAGATGAGGATCCTCCATTTTGTATGACTTTTGATGAAATAATCGCTGTCAAGTAGAATTGATAATTCACTAGGAATCAATTTCAACATTATTATCTGTGGTCAGGGTCACTGACTTACTTGACACATGTCATCGTATCCACACTGCTTAAATCGATGCTCATCCTATTGATCACTGGACCGTACAGTGCAGACTCGGTTATTTATAGATCGCAGACATAGAGCTGGAATACTGCTGATAATATTAAACATTAAACCAACCAACAACTGTCATCAGTTCCCTTACCTTGTCGGTAGTATATTTGCAAATCATGACATAGATGTTGTTCTTTGTTTCTAATATGCTTCCTATTGTTTAAACATTAACTTCTTGGCCTTCTTTGGTCGTTATGACCTTCTATTTGTTATTTGTTTTTGTGTCTATGGAGACGTTTAATTCGATCGGAAGAATTCCAGTTTAAAGAGTTATAATCGAAACTTTCCACCGTGATTGCGATGAGTCCATGTAGTATAACATAATAACATATGTTAATAGTTCCGCATAGATTAGCTTCATCGGAAAGACTGTTCATCGATAATCCATTAATCAATATGTTACCCGTTTAAATATTGTCAAGATGTCAATATGAAACATAAAACCAGATACTAATCAGCGTAGAGTGTTTGCGTACCAATCTTATCCATAAATCGTCACACTAGGCGATCGATACTTCAGTTATAGTGAACTATTGCCAGAAACGTGCAGCATGAGGATGGTTGTGTGGGGATTTGTTCAGCTTTTTCTCACCATCACCATGACTTACAGCTCAGCTTCACAATGTGGCATTCTGACATGTCGCCACCATGGAAGTTTGGATGGACAGATGTTCAATGACACCTTCATCACTGAACAAAGCTTTTCTGACAAAGCAGCATGTTTTTGGAGGTGTTTCCGTAATCTGCAGTGCAACATGGTACTGCACAATCCAGCGTCTCAACGTTGCCGGTTGTATTATTCATCCGTCATCACTGGGGGTGAACAAGAGGCAGGCTGGCAGTATTATACAGGTAACGAATGCCGTATGTCATTCTGGTGGTACTCTGTTATATAGTAATACATGATCTGTGTTTGTTTGTTTAATCCTGGCCATTCAGTTTCTGCGCTTCCGAATGACTTGTGGGAATCCACATTCTGAATTGTTGTTTGTTAGTACAATCCAGGTTTACGTCTTTGAGTGGCCTGTTAGAAGTTGAGAAGCGCAGACATGAACAACGGTACAAGAACATGTATCAAACGTCTCACTCACAAAATAAAGAATTTGTTATCCATAAAGTTTGTCTACAATGGGTACAGGTTTCTTCAGGGATCACAATTTGAATTTCATCAAAACCAGCACAAAGTACCCATCTTCGATCTCTTCTGCTAAAACAATTAAATAACATGAACCTCGGAGTGTAAGATGGATGCATTGATGAACAACCTTTGAGTTTGCAGCTTCAGATTTGGTGATTCATGAAATTCCCAAATTCTTTGTTGCTCATAAGTTATGTGTTGGCAAATGTTCTCTAATCTCATATCGAGACATTAGCTCAGTTTCCCCTGTACCATATCAAAAGTATCATGGATGAGTGCAACTTCAAATATTTCCCACAGTACTTCAAGATGCTTCACGATATCATTCATGAGATATTTAACTAAATACGTTCTTTATACACCCGTCAGTGTTATCTAATAAAATTAATCCCAGTAAATACCAGTATGTAAATAAACTAGTTGGTACCATATAACCTAGACATCAACATCAGTAGGTCAAGATGTGATGTGGTAGTTTTACGATGATTTCGTATTGGCCACAGTCGGTTTACTTATTACTATGTGATTAAAACAGATGAAGATGGACCTCCTAAGCGCATCTCTTATGATGGAGTATGTATCATCAGGCATATTCTGCTTGACTTTGTTGGGTTTTCAAATGCATTGAATTCACACTATCACGCAGTAAATCTGAAAGATCTGTTTTCCCATGTGAGCTGGCATCTCATTGTAAACTCATTGAGGAGATTGGTCTGTACAATTTGAAGAAATATGTATTTTAAGACACTCCCTTGTAATTTGTGTTGAGACTGGTCTTCTCTATGTGCACAGAATCGGCCTTGTGCTATATGGCTGAAACAATGACGATGCGACAAGGTAATTTTAACTCACTCAAACAGAGAACCATTCATGACATGAACAAAGTCATCTACTTGATCTTGGTATGTGAAAATAACCCAATGTTTTTATCAGTAAATGAATATTGTCAAGAATCCAGATTTCTTCTCATTCTGGCATAGAAAACAACGATCAATAGACAGCGCCAGTACATTATTTTTGATTGTCGATAACGCGTTAGATTTGTGGATGTTTGATAGTGGAATATTATCAGATGTATTGTCACTCACTGGTACATTGCACGTGCTCGCTGTTACGGAAGTCTGACATGATGACATATGTTTTAATCCAAGTTAAACATCCACTCAGAACTGAGGACCCATGAAGATCCAGGCTAGAATTGATCTTCAACAACCTATGCTTGTTGTAAAAGGCGACAAATAGGATCGGCTAGTCAGACTCGCTGATGTAAGTCATCTTATCCTACATCAACGCCCCAGTTGTTTATCAGTTGTCTCGTCCAGACTCGATTATTTCCAGACCGCTGCCACATAGCTGGAATACACATAGATAAACATCTAACAAACCTGAACAAAAGTCGTCCCATAAAACAAGCATTGAAAGTTGATGACGTATTTGCCAAATCGGCAACCGGTGTTACCTTATGTCAGATGTCAAAGGAGCAGGGAGGTAGGACAGCCAAGTGGTTAAAGCATTTGCTCCTCACGGATTCTTTACCACACAATGAGTGAAGCCCTTTTATGGTGTCCCTATATTGATATTGCTGGAAAATGTCTGAAAGTGGCGTTGTCACTCACTCACTCAAAGGAGCAAAACAAAACTTATTACACAAATAACTGTCTCAGCATGGTATGTTGTATTGTGAGGTCGGAATTGTCAACAAGTAGTTCATGATGAAACTGATGTGAAATCTGTGTTGTGTTTAGTTGCCTGCAGCGACTTCCGGATCCTGAATGCACTCTCGGTGATGAGGAACCAGACCCACGAGGATGTCACCTGCTCCAACGGCTTCTCCTATCTACCGACCACGTCAGGCAAATGTTTCCATGACAACGTACCCCTAGACATAGGACGGTGCATGCAGACCCTCTGGATTGACCCAGTACGGGTGACACATATTTTGAAACAATTATGTCCACGTCCTTCAATACATACATCACTTCATGATCATAATGTTACGCTCATAAGCAAACTAACGGTAGGAGGAGACTTTGGCATAGTTTTAATTAAACCTAAAACACATTTAAATTACAATGAATGAAGAAACATCTCTTAAATAGATAAACATCTTAATCAACATTGAGAGCCATACAGCAACGATACTCTCCTGACAGTTGCCAGTATTGGGACGGGGCAGTAAAACCCAGGGGGTAGTTGGTTGTTTTGTTGTTTTAACGTCGCACTCTGCAATATTCCAGTTATAGGGCGGCGGACTCCAAATAATCGAGTCTGGACCAGACAATCTAGTGATCAACAGCATGGGAATCTATCTAGTCATTTAAGGTACGATGGCATGCGTCAACCAAGTCAGCGAGCCTGATCACCCGATCCCGTTAGTCGCCTATTACGACAAGCATGGGTTCCTGATGACTATAGCGTAATAGCCAATGGACACACATATCTCAAATCATTCAATGACACATTAATAGCTCCCTGCTACAAGAAACGTTACAAACTCACCGCCGCATAGAAAATGTTAGTCTCAGTGCCACATGAGACTCGTTGCAATTCCTCTTGGATTTGTTTTTCATTGCTCCAGATTTTAAGATTTCTGCTGTTTCATTTATGAAATGATAAAGTTTTCTTTGACCGAAAAAGGTGGAAAAAGCGTAAATTAGTTCACCAAGATAAAAGGTGCGAGTTTTGAAAGAATCATTTTCTAAAACACCAACGAGATTCTGATAAACAAGAGACATAAAAGTTTACTTTACTTCAACACACACCTGCTCACTGTCTTCTTTACAACAGGTACCAGTGTTCAGGACGTCTCTCCCTGCTCCCCTGTCTAGTTGTTATGTAACAACACCTGCTACTGTCTTCTTTACAACAGGTGCGAGTATTCAGGACGTCTCTCCCTGCTCCCCTGTCTAGTTGTTATGTAACAACACCTGCTACTGTCTTCTTTACAACAGGTGCGAGTATTCAGGACGCCTCTTCCTGCACCCCTGTCTAGTTGTTATGTAACACACACCTGCTACTGTCTTCTTTACAACAGGTGCCAGCATTCAGGACGTCTCTTCCTGCTCCCCTGTCTAGTTGTTATGTAACACACATCTGCTACTGTCTTCTTTACAACAGGTGCCAGCATTCAGGACGCCTCTTCCTGCTCCCCTGTCTAGTTGTTATGTAACACACACCTGCTACTGTCTTCTTTACAACAGGTGCGAGTATTCAGGACGTCTCTCCCTGCTCCCCTGTCTTGTTGTTATGTAACACACACCTGCTCACTGTCTTCTTTACAACAGGTGCGAGTATTCAGGACGTCTCTCCCTGCACCCCTGTCTACTTGTTATGTAACACACACCTGCTACTGTCTTCTTTACAACAGGTGCGGGTATTCAGGACGTCTCTCCCTGCTCCCCTGTCTAGTTGTTATGTAACACACACCTGCTCACTGTCTTCTTTACAACAGGTGCGAGGTATTCAGGACGTATTCAGGACGTCTCTTTACAACCTGACGTCCCCTGTCTAGTTGTTATGTAACACACACCTGATCACTGTCTTCTTTACAACAGGTACGAGTATTCAGGATGTCTCTCCCTGCTCCCTTGTCTAGTTGTTATGTAACACACACCTGCTCACTGTCTTCTTTACAACAGGTGCGAGTATTCAGGACGTCTCTCCCTGCTCCTCTGTCCAGTGGAACTGAGATTATCGTGGAGGCAGCCGCAGATGGAGTCAACAAGTAGGTGTTTGTAAAGTTTACAACAATCAACATATTGTATTACATGTCGTTGTAATAATTTTGGATACTGCTTCAGTATACTCTATAAAAATGAAGAGAGCTACTTCAATTTTTAATTTACGATTGAAAACAATGGGAGACATATTAGTGTAAATGTTGATATTATAATGAATGTTTTGAGAGTGCACTTCCTTGCACTTCCTTATGACCATTGTTTGTTAGGTAAATGCTCTTGAAAGATGGCTGATGAATGACGTGTAGTTTGCATGCTTAGAACAAACACTAACAACAGTGTTATGCAAGATGATTAATTAATGATTAAGTTATGGTCAACAATGATTTATCGACCTTCTTAATATCGAAGTCAAAATCCAGAATGACAACCATGAATGTGTATGGGGTTACTGCGTTGTGCACGTGCATTCCATGCTTTGTGTTTAGGGGTGGTGATAAAGAGAAATGGTTGTGCGTTCATAAGATGTTTCACACTTTGAAAAGTGTGTTCTTCCTATTCAAATAGAAAGTTAAGGTTTCCCTACTTTTTTTTAAGAGTGTATAAATAAGACAAAAGAGAATTAAATATTGAAGTAATACATTCTGTACCATTGGAACAAGCCTTCGATCTGATGTCAGTGAACATGACCAGAGCAATTGTAATGGTCAGGCAAGACGTTAACAGGAAATGGTTCATGGTGTAAATGTTATGTCTGTGGGGATACAATGAGATGACTACTGTAGACATGCGTGTGTGGGGATACAATGAGATGACTACTGTAGACTTGCGTGTGTGGGGATACAATGAGATGACTACTGTACACATGCGTGTATTTGGATACAATGAGATGACTACTGTAGACATGCGTGTGTGGGGATACAATGAGATGACTACTGTAGACATGCTTGTGTGGGGATACAATAAGATGACTACTGTAGACATGCGTGTGTTGGGATACAATGAGATGACTACTGTAGACATGCGTGTGTGGGGATACAATGAGATGACTACTGTAGACATGCGTGTGTGGGGATACAATGAGATGACTACTGTACACATGCGTGTATTTGGATACAATGAGATGACTACTGTAGACATGCGTGTGTGGGGATACAATGAGATGACTACTGTAGACATGCGTGTGTTGGGATACAATGGGATGACTACTGTAGACATGCGTGTGTTGGGATACAATGAGATGACTACTGTAGACATGCGTGTGTGGGGATACAATGAGATGACTACTGTAGACATGCGTGTGTGGGGATACAATGAGATGACTACTGTAGACATGCGTGTTGGGATACAATGAGATGACTACTGTAGACATGCGTGTGTGGGGATACAATGAGATGACTACTGTAGACATGCGTGTGTGGGGATACAATGAGATGACTACTGTAGACATGCGTGTGTTGGGATACAATGAGATGACTACTGTAGACATGCGTGTGTGGGGATACAATGAGATGACTACTGTAGACATGCGTGTGTGGGGATACAATGAGATGACTACTGTAGACATGCGTGTGTGGGGATACAATGAGATGACTACTGTAGACATGCGTGTGTGGGGATACAATGAGATGACTACTGTAGACATGCGTGTGTAATGATACAATGGGATGACTACTGTAGACATGCGTGTGTGGGGATACAATCAGATGAGCAATGTAAATGAGTCAGTATGGTCACATGTCGCTTTCAGCAATATTCCACATCAGACAAAAGGTTCAATACATTGTACCTGTGTGAGGAATTGAGCCCGTAACTTGGCGTTGTTATATTCGATGACCTTGAAATAGAGGTTTGCACAAAGTCTAACTGACAGTGTGAGAGTTCTGGTATTTATAAATGGGTGACACCTTGTTTTCAGTCGAAACTGGGTGCGCCTTCATGTAAATGGTGACAGCACACTGGCTCTGTCTTTGGTTGTACGATGGGACACAATGGACATAGGCTTCAATACACGGTCATCTGGCGTGTGGTCGACGGCACTGAGCCATCCAGATGTAGTCTTCACGCCCAACGTCATCTCGAACCTCTCCATCAAGATCACAGACACCCAGTTCCTGGTACGTAGGTTATAATAATATAGGGATGAACGCCGTCTCTATTACAGTGAGAGTGACGTTTCGGCGTAGGTTCTAAACCGTTATCAAGAAAGTGATGAACAGAATGACGACAGAGGGACACATATACAAGTAGGGTGAGTTGTAAGCCTCTGAATCGTCATTTTGTTTATCACTTGCTTGATAACGGTGTTAGACCGGTTGGATGGTTGGATGGTCAAGCTATATTGTGGCGGTCTCTCAATAACTGAGTCTGGACCAGAGAGTCCAGTGATCAAAATCATCAACATCAATCTAAGCAGTTGGAATACGATGACATGTGTCAACCAAGTCAGTGAGCCTAACCATCCGACCCCGTTAGCTTCCTCTTACGACAAACATGAAGACTGAAGACCAAGGAGGGGAGGAGGGAGGGTGTGTGTGTGTGTGTGTGTGTGTTTGTGCGTGCGTGCGCGCATGGGTCTTACGATGCGGCAGCCTGTGTAATAAACATATTGGTTCATGATCATTTCAGATATCTGTTGATGACAACAATCTGTTCACTGGTCCAATAAGGGTTCCAGTACAGCAGGCCGACGCCATTGACGTGGACTTCACCCTCATCAAACGATTGCAGCTCAAATATCCCTGATCGATTATATCTCTGTCTAGTCTCCTTCAACAGTTTCCTCTATTACGACAAATGTAGTTAATCAAGTTTGGATAAATCAATCATGTGATTGACATCATGAGCATCGATCATCAAAGCTGACACGATAGCCGGCAGCAGCCGTGAGGCCCCAATCAGGTATTCACCTCTTACGACAAGCATGATACTCACTGATACTCACGAACTTGTGTACATTCTATCTAACTTATAAAATTCCTTTTTACTTTAGTTCATGTATATTTAGAACATTGTTGAGTTGCCCACAATCTTTATAGAGACTTATACTGTGACAGATAAAAATGGCTACAGGGCCGTTAAAATCCCATTGTGCTATATACATTGTGAAAGGAAAGGCATGTCGTGATCTGCTTATCCTGGTAATATTCTGCGATATAAATGTACTGCATGTGATATTAGAGTTAGGATTTTACCACACTCTCAGTATTTCGTTAAAAGTAGCATAATTTATGCTACTTTGACAGATGGAACCTTTATACAATCATCACTGTCGTGTTTGTATTATTTATTATGGGACACTTTGTTGAATTAGCGGTATCAGATATCATATTGAATATCTTATTTTGCTTCCTCATTTAAATGTGAAACATGCAATTTTGCCTGATATATTTGGTGGATTCGGGGGCGTTGTGGGCGAGCTGTCTGAGGCGCTGCGCTAGTAAGCGAAAGGTGCCTTGACCGATCCCCACTTGTGATCGGGTGTAAAAACCTTGGAGCTAACATTACTAGCAGGCTCTTTCAGTGTTGTCACAACCCCTAGTGTGCAGTACACAACCCTGCGCACTTAAAAGAACCCACCCATCCGATGGTAGGTGACCAGATGTGCAGATAGTTACAGGTATAGTACCGTGCAGTATCAATGGACAAAGTACTGTGACTATGTGTCCCAGTTCACCCAGCTGCAAATGTGTAACGTGGGAGGCTGTGTGTTAACAAGCTGCACGAGTTGAATACTCCCCAGGGAGTTGAGCTTGTTAAAAGACTGCCAGAAAAAAAGACATCCTCCAGCGCCTTGGGCATGTACTGCTTGCGTGGATACGTACGTTATATAAATATCCTATAATGAGAATAATTAGTTTATTCAGGGTTAGTAAATGAATTTAGTTCTCAAGGAAGAAACCTGTAGGAGAGCAATTTGCGAAATGGTTATTTACACTAACCATTTCCTCGCCATGTATAGCAACCCTTTTGTATCTAGTAGCTTATTCATGCCAAATTAATTGTTGTGTGTTTGTCTGTTGTTAAACGCCGCACTCAGCAATATTTCAACTATATGACATCGGTCTGTGTATACTCGCATCTGGACCAGACAATCCAGTGATCGACATAATTATAATCGATCTACACAACTGAAATACGATGACGTGTGTCTGGCCACGCCATTCCTTTAGTCGCCTCTTACGACAAGCATGGGTTGCTGAAGATCACTTCTAACCCGGATCTTCACGAACCATTCATTCTCAGTGCGTAGACAAACGGAATCCATCTAATTCACGAGACAATCTAGACATCATGTTAATTGATCTATGTAATTAGGATACGACCACATGCATCAACCAAACCAGTGAGCCTGACGATTTGGCTGAAATACTGCCGATCTAACTTATCTCGCTCACTCACAAGCCACCCGGTCCTGGTTCTCGCCTCTAAGTAAAGCCATTGGTTCCTGAAGACAAATTTCACTCCGTATCATCACAAGTATCAACATGACATGATCAGTACTCATGCATGCCTTGTAATTCCCCCGGGAAAGTGATATCAGCATCTGTGTTGTCTGTGAAAATTTAAAGTGATGCGTCGTAAAATCTGCCCGTTTCGCCATTTAATAAGATGTCACAGCCTTTGGGTGTGCTCTTTTGTACATCACTTTCCTCGACTATTCTGCTCTTACAGTAAGACCGCTTGCTTAGGCTCAGAATGTGTGAATATGTTGTCTCTGGACCACCTTCAGATCATCAAGAATATCATACATTCCTGCCTTGTCTCAGTACCATGTGTATACCGATTCCACACTGTTGTTTCCCGATGTTGTGCTTATTCCAAATGAATGCACTTTATCCACCAATTCTTTGTTGGAAACGTAGATTTGTTATTTTTAAACAAAGTCCTATACTGGGAACTTTGTTTAAAAAACCCTCTCTGCATGCACGCGCAGACGCACGCACACACAAACACACACAATGTTATCCTCGAACCCTCTTGCATTACAATATCATCTACAAATCAACAGAAATATTTAGCATTTACAACATGGGCTACAACAATATTATTTGCAACATAAAACACAAGCTGTAGCACAAGTTTGATAATTCTGACAACTGTTATGAGACGTCAGGAACGTCTTGTCTAGGCTGATTTGACGTGTAAAAGTTTTTCAGTCTCTCAGAACACGGATGGTCAGTTCCAGATGCCCATGAAATATTTATACTGATCCACATTTCTCATCATATACTCATCCATGAGAGTATATCATGACGAAGATTGAAACTGAAGCCGCATATGCTACCATCCACAACTGAATACTCTTGACATTCACTCCTGCCATTTTCAGAGATTCATTTTGTCAGATTAAAATTCAACACATGTACATTACAGACTGTTTACAGTGGCTAGATAAAGATATATGACGGTAGCACTTACGTTTACACCTTGTTAGTTTCCCTGGTGTTTGGAAAGGAGAATTTGGATAGTACAAAATCAGTGGAAACAGGTGATATTCAGTGATGAATCGCAGGTAGTTATTGGTCAGAATGGAAGAGTTTTCGTTTGGAGAAGTGCGCATGAAGCCTATCGTCCCGAATGCATGATTCACTCGAAACAGGCCAGGTTATCAGTTATGATCTGGGGTTCTTTAACTTGGTACGGTGTTGGCACCTTGTGTCGGGTTAATGGTAATATTAATGCTGTCAAGTATCGTGAAATACTTGAAGGCAACCTCTGGCCCGTTATAGCTCGGCACTTCAACAACAAACCATATCGGTTTCAAGATTACAATGCTCCGGTGCATCGGGCACGAATTATTCAGGAATACAAGCGTGACAATGCTGTAAATTGCATGACCTGGCCTGCACAGTCTCCCGATATCAATATTATTGAAAATGAACACTACAATATTATTGAAAAAGAACACTACAGCGACGATCACAAACTATCCTGACCACTGACGAACTGTATGATGCCATCGACGATGTCTGGACAAATATCACTCTACACTATGTTAGAAACTTATATGAATCAATTCCACGACGGATTATGGCCTGCATACACTCCAAGGAATTTAACCAAGTACTGAGGTGAGACATAATTCTTTTTTTGAAATATCGCTGTTTAATGTTTTCATACGGTCATGTGTTTACTTCCGCCATTTTGAATTGTCGCGAATACTTTTGTCATCACGCTGTACATATGTCGTTGGGACTTATAGAAGATCCAACAGCCAGCACTTAACCAGGATGCTCCCCCACCATCCATGAAGATTAGAAGAGCCCCTTCCCTGTTTCCACCACCAGTGTGGAATGTGCACCAGACACCTATTAACAGGGGAAGCAAGACAAATAACATTTGTGAATCCTGGAAGAGTGGATTCAAGAAGTTGATTGGTCACAATCATCCTGTGGCGTGCAATACAAGGACTTCAACGAGACCAGGCTCTGGCTCTGACGCCCGGCTTCTCCAGTTTGCCTGGAGTTACAGACCCACCAAAAGATCAAAGAAACTCCGTGACCAACAAGCAAAGAGGCTGCAAAACCTGTGTATAGACTTAAAATCTCAATGTAAAACTGTTCCAGAGTTTCTTGAGAATGTTGGACACACTGTAAGATTGGGATAAGATGGGACAAGTGCTGAATTAAGGAAATTCTCTGAGTTTGGGTATTGTTTGTGATTTGATGTGACAATTAGTGCTGCTAAGAAAATATGTGTTCAAATGCTCTCATTGGATAGGACTATGTTGATTTTGATATTAGAATGTAAATAAATCTTGTTAAACCTGAATTGTTTTCGTATATATTATCATATGGGGCTTTTGTCTGATATGTATGGGGCTTTTGTTTGTGGGACTTCATTCCTGCGGGGCTTTTGTCAGGCAGTCGCACCGTCCTATGTCTAATGGTACGTTGTCATGGAAACATAGCCTGATGTGGTCGGTAGATAGGAGAATCCGTTGGAGCAGGTGAGTCTTGTCCCGTCTGACTAATGATGTGTATGTTGGGAATGTGAGGGGGATGTGGTGAGTCTTGTCCCGTCTGACTAATGCTGTGTATATTGGGGATGTGAGGGGATGTGTTGAGTCTTGTCCCGTCTGACTAATGTTGGGGATGTTAGGGGATGTGTTGAGTCTTGTCCCGTCTGACTAATGCTGTGTATGTTGGGGATCTGAGGGGATGCGGTAAGTCTTGTCCCGTCTGACTAATGCTGTGGTTGTTGGGGATGTGAGGGGGATGTGGTGAGTCTTGTCCCGTCTGACTAATGCTGTGTATGTTGGGGTTGTGGTGAGTCTTGTCCGATCTGACTAATGTTGTGTATGTTGGGGATGTGACGTGGATGTGGTGAGTGTTGACCTGTCTGACTAATGCCGTGTATGTTGGGGATGTTAGGGGATGTGGTGAGTCTTGTCCCGTCTGACTAATGCTGTGTATGTGACGGGGATGTGGTGAGTCTTGTCACTCAGCAATATTTCAACTATATGACATCGGTCTGTGTAATAATCGCATCTGGACCAGAGAATCCAGTGATCGACATAATTATAATCGATCTACACAACTGAAATACGATGACGTGTGTCAACCAAGACAGCGAGCCTGGTCACGTCATTCCTTTAGTCGCCTCTTACGACAAGCATGGGTTGGTGAAGAAAAGCATTGGTTCCCGAAGACAAATTCACTCCGTATCATCACAAGTATCAACATGACATGATCAGTACTCATGCATGCCTTGTAATTCCCCCGGGAAAGTGATATCAGCATCTGTGTTGTCTGTGAAAATTAAAAGTGATGCGTCGTAAAATCTGCCCGTTTCGCCATTTAATAAGACGTCACAGCCTTTGGGTGTGCTCTTTTGTACATCACTTTCCTCGACTATTCTGCTCTAACAGTAAGACCGCTTGCTTAGGCTCAGAATGTGTGAATATGTTGTCTCTGGACCACCTTCAGATCATCAAGAATATCATACATTCCTGCCTTGTCTCAGTACCATGTGTATACCGATTCCACACTGTTGTTTCCCGATGTTGTGCTTATTCCAAATGAATGCACTTTATCCACCAATTCTTTGTTGGAAACGTAGATTTGTTATTTTTAAACAAAGTCCTATACTGGGAACTTTGTTTAAAAAACCCTCTCTGCATGCACGCGCAGACGCACGCACACACAAACACACACAATGTTATCCTCGAACCCTCTTGCATTACAATATCATCTACAAATCAACAGAAATATTTAGCATTTACAACATGGGCTACAAC